CATATATCATCATCTGATCAATATTGGACACACAATATGGTGAATTATAATATTGCTTACGTGTAAAACTCTCGTCGATAATATTTTTCTTACTTCGTTTTTTTTCTCTCTACATTTTTTTTATGGTTTACACTCTCTCTTTTTTTTTCTTAATTTAATTTTATCTTTAGTTTAAACTATTATTATTATTTTTAAGGGACAATTACAAAAATGCCACTTTTTGTGTGCACATTTGCAAGAATGCCACTTAGGGATGCCTATTTGCAAAAATGCCACTAATTATAGATTTATAAAGCTTATATCTTAAAATTCTAAACTCTAAAAAATGTTTTGACCCCTAAAACCTCCTAAACCCTCATAACTAAACCCTAATAGAACATAATTAACCCAAACATAAATGATATAAAGAAAAAATAATTTTGAAAAAGTGGCATTTTTGTAAAGATTTCAAAAATATGGCATTTTTGTAAAGTGGCACTTGAAAAGTGGCATTTTTTGAAATTTCTCTATTTTTAATCTAGGTAGTGTGGACTATTGAAAATTTTTGTAAAGGTTTTGTTTTGCTCCAGGGTACAGCATTTCGCAGTATTGGATGGGCCACTTTATTTAGTTTCATAAGAATTTAAGATGAGAAGTTCAAGCAATCTCTTCAAACTGCTGGAGCCATGATGCCGGAGTTTGGGTGGCAGTCTTTCTCTGTTTCTGTTCATGCTCTTTCTCTGAAGAAGTTCATACCGCTAGTATGCTTAGGAATTGGGCTTTTGATTCTAGTTTTATACCTGCAAGCTTTCTCTCTATGGGAATGTGAACGTCCTTGCAGATCCTTCCTTGTCTGTGAAACTCATGTTGAACTGCAGATAACTTTGATGTGGTCAATAAGTGTGTTTTTCATATTCTGCAGGTTGCTGAGAATTGTAATCCTACGGAGAGGAAAAACTGGTTTCCTGATATCGAACCATTTTTAAGCTTCTTGGTCAAGCCCCTCCATATCTCAAGGTGAGTTGCGTGTTAGAGATTCTTCCCTTTACACTTTGACTCAGAAATGATCCACTTAAAGCGAAACAACCCGACCCTTTTTTTTTTTTGAATATAAATTAGCACCGAATTAGCATCCCCATAAATGCTAACCCTTAACGTGCTAAAATTCTCAATACAACAAACATTCAGCGGAAATCAATTATGCAAATAAACCATTAAATAATACTTCATATCATAAACCAATAACCAATCATTCAACATCCTAGACCGTTCTATATCGAATCACTAACAACCTAGCAATCCAATAATCCACG